GTTTGACTAGGCTCTTTAACAAAGATAAAAATTTCGGGCATGTTTCACCATCATTTTTTTTTTTAATAAAATATATTTTAAAATAGTAGATTAATGAAAAATGTGAGATTAAAAAAATAAAAAAATATTTTGAACTTACGTAAAATATTATTTTATTGAAAAATATATGTTTGAAAAGAAAAAATAAAAAAATGTATTTTTTAAAAAAAGAGAAGACCTATGCTAAAAAAATAGTACATTGTCCAATTTAAGGGAAATTGGAATCCAGATGGGAAGGATCATGAACAGGCAATTCTTCTAACATGATGACCTTAAAATGATCGAGGAAGAAATTCCAATAAATGTGACGAGCTGCCCTCAAGTATGTGCAAAAAGTCGGCAAGTTCGGATCTTGTCTTCTTTTTTCGCTCCATTTGCCTCCTATTGAATTTATAATACATTTTTTATCTCTTCTTTTTAGCCGCACATATTTCAATAAAATAATATTATCATAGTTATTAGACTCGACCCGAATAATGTATTGGGTCTTGGGTTACTGGTCGAACTGTCGGTCAATGTGTTTCGCGCGGGTTATCGCTAACAATTAAAAAATGGATCAGACGATTGTATAAAGAACAAATCTCTTGAGATAAAGTCCCAAAGATGGGTGTTTTATTGATGAAGAATACAATTGAAAATAAACAGAATGCCTCCAAGTGGTGCAAGCACGCGAGTACTAAAAGAAGTGTTTTAAAATTAAACTAAGAAATTGAAATTACATATTCTATGTTGAAAGTGTTTGATTCAGGGTCCCTTTTTCTATGTCTTCCTTTCCTTTTTATACTCCCATGATAGTTTCTTTGTAAAAATTGATTGAAAACTGTTTGATACTCTATAACTACCCATTTTCCTCATGATGGCTGACTTGTCGTGAAACTGCCGTCTCTAACTGTTGCCATTACTCTTGTCGTTTAACTGCCTACAACCGGAATTCTTGGATCGTGGGGTGTGATAAGATTGCTCAATAACTGCTTCAATAACTGCTGTATTGGATAACCACAATACCTTAGATTCGCCCAGTTCCTGGGCAACTAGAGGGTTTAGGTGAGAATGAGATCATCGCTCTGGGCGACCGTAAGGCACTTCACTCGCTCAGATTCTGGGCGTCTTGCAAGTTTGGGCGATGATGTTACTTTATTCATGGGTCTCTACTGCACTCATTAATGGTCCTGTTTGGGCCTTCATCTTGGATTTTCCAATTGAGCTTCATTTTTTTGGCTATTCAATTTAGGCTACACTTTTTGTATGTCAACACAATGATCGGATTGATGGGTCATTGCATAAAAATCTACAAAAAAAAAGTTAAAGTATTCATCTAAGTTAAGTTGGTTATTTTACTTATTAAGTGAGTTTGTTCAAGCATTTTAAATATGATGAAATTTTTTTTTTTTTGTTATAGTCTTAAGTTTTTTTTAGAAAGTCAACAAAAAAGTTGAGAGGGAGTTTTAAAAAAATATTTGAAAAAATTAATTTGTTGAACGGTAAAGTACTCTAAGGCCATTACAAATATATCGTTTTTTAATTCTCTATATTTTATGCCATTAGACGAGTATAAATTGTTTTATTGTTCATTAGAAAGTTTTAAAGAATCGATTAATATCTATCTAGAAAATCGAGAAATATGTAGATTAGTTATTACAGGAAGCCACATTTCTTGAAATTTGATTTTACAGTCATCAAAAAGTCTTTCTTCAAATCTCATTTTACTACAATTCATTTGACTTCCTCTTATTTCATATTCTAATTTTTGTCTATAATCTTTTGGAACTAAATCTTTTCTAATTATGTTAAATGTACAACATGTGTCTATTAAAGCTATTAAATTTAGTTTTATTATTTTATTTATTTGTATTTCTATGGGTATTCTAATGTTTTTGGTTGGCTTTGCCCTAGATATTTGACAAATTATTTTTTCTTGATTTTCTGTTTCTAAGTAATTATTTTTTGTATGATTATCTATAAGCTGTTTTCCTTTTGTTTCTAAATTTCTAATCTTATATTGTATTTCTCATATGGTTTCATATATTTTATCCATTCTATTGTTTGTATTTTCTATATTTTCCTCTAGTTTTTCTATATGTTTACCATAGTTTTTAATTTTATTATTATTACTAGTAAGACGCACGTGCAATGCACGTGCCATAGTATATTTGGCTATATGATAGCATAAATATAAAAAAAAAATTATTTATTTTAAACATTAGTTACATTAAACTTA